TGCCTCTCACAAGAATGCCTTTCTGGTTTTGTCCTTCAAAAGCCTTCTCATAACTTGACTTTTTTCTGTTGTGTTTCAGCAACTCATTTGCAACCCGCTACTGTCAGGGTGAAATCCCTTTCACTTTCCAGGCACAAAAAGGAAGGAAAGCCTCACGTTTTTCTTCATTTCCTTAGAAGGTAGAACTGGAATAATCTCTGTACTCAAATTCCAGAGCTTTTGTGTTTTTCCCTGACTTACAAGCAGGGAACGAAGGTGTATGTACAAACACACACACACACACACCCCTACCCACCCCTAGTTACTGCAGATATCACTATTGTGAGGGTCTTCTGGAACAGGCATAGGTAGGAATCTTTTATCATGCACCTGGAAGGCGTGTTGATATGGCATTTTTTGTTTCCTTTTCTACTACTGTCTAGGTTTATAATGAATAGCAACAAAAGCTTGTGTGCTGTCTTTTCACATGCTCAGACCCACTTGAAGTGCCTGTCTTCCCTGTATGGATGATGCAAGTCAGACCTGCTTACAGTCCACCATAAAATAGGGCTTTTTTTTAAACCATGGGGCTTATTCCCATACAAAGGCTGAGAAAATTGGGGCTGATCAGCCTGGAGAAGAGAAGGTTGTGTGGAGACCTTATAGCAAGCCTCCAATATTTGAAGAAGGCCTACAAGGATGCCAGAGAGGGACTCTTCATCAGAGACTGTAGTGATACAGGGGCAATGGGTTTAAATTTAAACAGGGGAGATTTAGGTTGGATATAAGGAAAAAAATCTTCCATGAGAGTGGTGAGGCACTGGAATAGGCTGCCTAACGAAGTTGTGAATGTGCCATCCCTGGCAGTGTTTAAGGCCAGGCTGGACAGAGGCTTGAGCAACCTGGTCTACTAGAAGGTGTCCCTGCCCATGGCAAAGGGGTTGGAACTAGATGATCTTAAGGTCCTTTCTAACACAAACCATCCAATGATTTTATGATTCTATGCCTTTGGCAAGTGTATGACTATGCATGGTGCGATGTGTGTAGTTGGGTGCATGTGCTGTCCTTGTTGATATAGTAGCAAAGTACTTGGAAGCAAATTTCTCAAAACCATTGAAGCTGTTTACTCATGTTGACTGGTTTTGAGATGCAGTGGTCCCAGGCACCCCTCTTCAGACAAGGAGCTGTGCTCAGACTGTTGAGCAGCTCCCAGACGCTCACCCCCAGAAACAAAACTCAAAAAACAGCTGGCCACTGGAGTTAAACCTTTTGCAGCATTTGCACTGTCAAAAGAGAATCTGTCTGACCTACATCAGGAGCAGCTTTTGCTGTGCTATGTTCCTGTTAATCTTCTGAGACCTGCAGGGGTACTGTTACACAATTTGAAGGATTTATATGGGTGGGATTGACTGCGTCTCCTGGATATGAAAGGCAGAAAGGCACAGAGGTAGCATAAATGTGCTGTTTGGCTGAGGTGTGAACCGGCAAGCTTGAGCTCACTTTCTACACAGGGCAAGATCCTGGGATGTTGCAATATATTGTGGCTCTGCTGGGGCTACTGGAGCTATAGACACTTATGTCATTTGAGGATCTATCCCAAATGCTGAAGAACAACTTTTACACCTCCTGCTTTGCGATGACTTCCTGCTACTAGAAATTTTGCTCTGATGTGTTTCTGGAATGCAGATCTGAGAATGTGTTTCATACATTTATTGCTGTCAGTAAATCTCATCACGTTTGAAACCTCTGGTTTAGCTAACTTTCCCAGTTTGACATCAGCTATTTCACCTTTGTATCTGTTGCATAGTTTTAAATGTGTTACCTGATCAACTCTTATGGAGCACTGCTGTGTCTAGATGCTGTAAAATACATCGACAGCCTACAAACTTGTTGCAAAACACAGCTTTTTATCATAAGACAGCAAAGACTGATTTTTTTTTCAGACTGCTTTCAGCTTTTAATATTTAATACCGCAATCATCCATTTTCTACCATGTTCTTTTTATTTAATGAGTTGTTGAAAATATTTACTTTCTTCTCCAAACAGCTCTGTCTTGTAATCATCCTGGAGTCATTTGGAACTGAAGTCTTTGATACTTTATCTGATTTTAGCTCATTCAAAATTTCTATCTGAGAAATCTGGAAATCATTAAGATAATTTATGTTCTCCATCTAAACCCATTAAAATAGTAGTGATTGTAATTGTCTAGGCTCAGTGTATGCGTGTGGTTGGTTTTTAAACTTTGTTGTTTCCAGGATGTTCTAATAACTTGGCTCTTCTTCTTCCTTGGTGTGGAAGAACTATTGCTGAGTTACATTTGATTATCTTATTTTGGCTTGATACTGGGAAGAGAGAAATAAAAAAGCTCACTGAAATCAGTGGAAAAATACCAAGGAAGCCATAGAGTTTGAGACAGAGTGAGAAGATCTGGGTTCTGTTCCCTCTTCCACTGCAAATGATTTGATTTCTTTTTCTCATTTATTTTGTCTGATAATCAGGGATAATTCTCCTTTTCTTCCTATCATTTTCTCAGCCTAATATCTCCAAAATGGAGGATGTCTTTGATGTATGCATATTGCCTAACAAAAATTCACTTGAAAACTTAGAGATGGGGTCAAGGAGTCCTAACTTCTTGTTAAGAAGAATGGTATAGCTGGAAAGTCAGTATTTCTTTGGAATTTGGTGGTGCACCTAACAAACGTCTCTATAGTTCAGGTTTATTTGGTAAATTTCCAGGCAAATGCATGTTAGTACAACCTTTTAACAACTCTTAAATGATACACTAAGGATTTTTGGGTAGCTGACACCCGCAAAAGTTTCTGGCATGTGGGAGAAGTGTAACCTGTGATAGAAATGTCAACCTCTGTCAAGATCATGAAATACTGGTTTAATTTTCTGCAAGATTTTTGTTCATTTTTGGTTAATTAACAGAACCTGATAAATTTCTCTCTGTCCCACATGATTAAGATGAAACTTTTGCATGCAGTGAAAGTTGTGTAACTAACCTTAAGTAACTTGGGAAACAAAGATATGAGAAAATAAATGAACTGGATCCAAGCCATCTAATTTATTGCCAAGATAGCTCTTCTGAATTAAACAAAAAAAAACACCCATATATATTTATCTTTGTAGCTTAATGAAGTACAGAGATACTGTATTGAGACCATCCATGTTATGATTTCACAAAGCAAAGTGCTCAAAGTGGAACGAGGGAGCCCTGCATGTTGGTGATCTATCCCTTGGCAAATGTGGTCTTTTTGTTATAATGGGGGTCTGGTAGAAGTCTAGGAACAAAAGCACGAATTTTGTCACTTAAACTATTACATTTTCAAGCTTAAAATATTTAAACTTTTTTTTTTTTTAAAAAAAAAAGCCCTTTCTTTCTAGGTAAGGCACTCAACTCTTGATGGAAAGGAAACTGGTTGTGACAGACTATTTACATTTGTTTATTTGCTTACATTAATGGCCTCAGCTAAATAGTTCTGGGGAAAATAAGATCCCTACCATGAACTGAATCTTCTCTGATGCAGAAAAATCAATTTTTCCACTTTATGTAGGTGGAAAGTAGGGTGGTTACTGACATTTTGGTTTCTTCACCAGCAGCAGTGAATAAATTCAATCTGGACATTTTGAGATCAAAGATGTTTTGCCTGTGCAAACTGCCACTGAGGCTTAGATACCACTGTTTCAAAGCTTAGAGCAAATGAAGCAGCTGTTTCAGCCCAGTTTAAACATGGTGAACAAGAGTAAAGCATATTAACACCAGCTGTGTACCGATAACAGCTGGAAAGGAAAATCACTGCAAGGGAACCTTAAAGTAAACTTGTAGTTCTAGCAGGCTTAGGTATCATGAGCATGCCTCTGAGGGAAGAGCAGCAGTGAAAATTTGATCCTTAGAAATGTGAAGAATTTAACGAGAAATTCGCTTGCCTCTTTTAGTGCCCCAGTATAGATGCAAATCAGGTTCTGGAGTCGGTGGCATGGCCTCTGAAGATTTTTTGATGCAGATCTCATGCTGTACTTACACACATGGGCAATTTTGAGATCAGAGCAAGTACTGAGTGATGGATTCTGTTTAGAGTTACAGTGTCTGGATAGAAACTAAGCTGTAATCTCTTCAGTAGTATTCCCATTTTCCAGAATAATGTGTGCTATTCATATTCAGGCTGCTTCTGAGGTTTTTACATTCACTTGGATTTTGTTCATTTTGGTCTACTAATCAAAAAAGAGCAGTATAAAACTAGAGGAAATAGTTAATGTCAGCAAAAATTATTCAGAGAAATTGTATTAAACCAAATATTCCCTTAGGTCCTTCTTTCAGTAGAGTAGGTCTCATGGGAATACATTTTAAGACTTGCCTTCTCATCAGTACTTTGTGATAGCTCAGGATTAAGACTAATTCTGGAACAATTATATACTTATAATAATAAACCTTCATTATTTTACATTAGTATTTTAAAGATACCAAGTTAATTCAAGACTTCCTCATGAAGCCACGTGCTCTCAGTGACTTTGCAAAACCCATAAGGTAAAACACAACTAACAGTGAGGAGGTACTGTAGGGTGCAAAAGAGCAGGTCAGTAAGGATTCGTTGTGTTTGTTCCATATTTGCAAATTGATACATCTGTTGATAACTTTCAGTTGCTCCCTACCCATGGAAATAAATAATGTTAACACAAGAAAGCACGTTTTCTAAGTTAAATGAAGTGCCTGTAGCTTAATATCTCCACTTGGCATCCATCAGAATTTTGAGGGGCTTTTAATGAAATAAAAGTTTTGGAGATATTAGTATTATTTCCACAGTATTTGTGTGGTTCCCTAGCTGTCTTTGAATACACATACAAAGAAAATGACAACACTGTTCAAGCTGCAGGTGGGAATAACTCCTGTGCTGGAGTACAGAAGCTTTCAGCAATTTCTTGCCATTGAGATAACTGAGTAAATATGTCCATTTGTGTATAATTGTCATCTTCTCTCTATGCTTTCCCCCTTTCACTTCTTGTCTTCTCCATCCCTTCAGCTAGTATTTATGTGCTGCTTGGTGTCTTCTGACCTCCATGGAGCTGGAATCACATCTTGGGTATGTTCTACAAAGAACCTTGTGTACTTTAGGTACATGGAAAATAACTAGACTTAGACAGCTAAAGTTTTGGACAGGAGGCAATGCAGCTGTCTGAGTCCCTCTGAAAAGAGAACATAAGGATATGGATAAAGACATTTAAATGAGGCCAGTTAGCATTGTCATAAAGTTCTTTTAATGTTAACCAGCTGTTATAGATTTGTTCTCATTCTTTGGTAGATTACATGCCTCTTATTGTGCTGGAAGTCAGTGCTCTCTATTTCTGTATGCATAGCAGACAATAATATAATAAACCAAATCTTCAGATTCATGTGTATACAATTATGAGAAAGCAGTAGTTCCTCAGAGAAAGCAATTTTGGCATAATTCATAACAAGTGTTTTCAAATGTGAAGAATGGAGTATGTTGAATGAAAAATGTAAACGCGTACGGATGTATGTTCAAATAGCACGTGAGTGAAAGAGGATAGGAGAAGCATGAACAAGGGGAATGGAATAAAAAGCACATCTTGCAAATGACTTGACAAGGCCACATCAAAACAGCTGTAAAGCTGAACAAACTCCACAGCCCAGTGATACACAGAAATATGAGACAAATTTTAGCGTTCCCAAAAGACAGGGACCTGTCTGAGTGGGTCACCGAAAGTACTTGGATGCTGTATGTTAAAATGATCTCTTTCCTGTGCTTTTACATAAAACATAATTTGTCTTGGTTAAGATCTGAGTAAATCTGATGGCTCTGATCCTTTTAGGACTGAAGTAACTTTCTCATTGACCCTGGGACTGTGTCCAATAAGCAGTCATGTATTAAATAACTGATAATACTGTATTTTGATTTCATTTATTCCCATCTGCCATGGTTTATTTTATTTTGTTTTTCAGGTTTGATAGCTCCACTGGATCTTTGATTGTGATCTCCTCTAAATCACAACACTGAAAACAATGGCAACAGAATGTATAAAAGACTGTTATAAATGGTGTTTCTGCATGGAAAAAGAAAAAAATTCTCGTGAGTTCTGACATAATGACATGAACTAAGGGTTTTGCTGTTCTGGCTTCATTAATTATGAGATTTCCCATTAGTAAAATGACTGTGTTACAACTGATAAGCTTGAATTCTTTTATGATATCCAAGATTCTTTCCATACCTCATCTGGAGATGGAACACATGCTTGTTAGCGTTATGAACTGGAATTGGAACTGAAAAATAACACTCGTCTGAAGTCTGCTCCTGCGGCCTAGAATGTTGTCCAAAAAAGCTAGCTTTTTACCCAAGGTTGTAATTGTCTTGTATCTTTCAAACACTAAGAGTGAATGTTTTTGGTTTTTTCTTTTTCTTTTTTAAACTCTCTGTGGATTTGCAAACATCTTAGATGTCTGAAAAACTCTCCTATGATACAAGTGTAGCTCTTGTGAGAAGTCACTTAAGAGCAAGGTAGCTATAAATATAGAAGCTTGGACAACAAAGAATTTGGATCAGTGCAAGTGTCATGAGGATGAGTATCTTTTCCAGGTGCTAGTCCTGAATACTAGTAAAACTGAACTCTAGCAGTAAGGTATCAAGCGCAGATCCTGTGAAATAAGAGTTCTGTTCGTAGTATTGCTCAAAACTTAATACACATGTGGATTGTCTGTTTTCTTGTGTTTTATTTTTAGCAGTTTCCATGGTGAAAGAATCTGAAGCAGCAGCCACAAGCAAGCCAGCTATTGTAGAGAAGCCTCCATTGTCTTCCGTGTCAGTGAAGCGTCAAGTTGGCTGTTCAGAGGATTATCTGCTTTCTAAACTGCCCCTGGATGGTCAGGAGGTACCTTTTGTGGTCCCTCCATTCAAATTGGCCTATGTACAACCAAAGAACCTTCCTAGTATCTCATATGGAGGGATTCAAGGTAAAATATAAACAGCATTGCTGAAATAGTTGTTTAGCTTATGCTACTCCTTAGAAGTTGTCGAGTATCCCTACTGAAAACATATGTTTGCAGAACTTTTCTAGAAGCCTGCTTCTGTTTCTTTTATTTCTGGACACCCAGAGAGGTTTTGGGAAGGATGTCTTCCCACTGTGAGTCTCTGTGATGTTGCCTGAATAAAACTGAAAGAGAGGATGGCACAGCAGTGCTCATACTCAAAAGGAAACAGAAGCTTTAGTAGAGAGTTTATTGGCAGCAAGGAAAAACCTAGCACATCCCTAGTATACAGATGACTCAAGTAAAGAAGGAGGGTAGTCTGGCTTTCATGTTTAATGAACTGATATGCTTTAACATACTAACACATCTTCCTTTTCAAATTTTTGCTAATAGACAGCATATGCTACTACATGGTGGAATTTTTTGCCCCTACTATTTCCTGCTCTGTTTGTTGCTGTTTGGAAGGCCAAGGGTCATGGATCTCGGTGGTATAAGGTTGCACATGCTACTGGAATTCTTTGCTTCACGACAATCTTATGCTTCAACCTCTATCAGTTAGTCCCATGCTCAGACTGCCAAAATGATGTACATGCAATTTAGGCACAGTGACATTTCAAAAGAATAGGAGCATGGCACAGTAACATGAGTTTCAGGTCATACACTATTGCTAGGTTGTTGATCCTGCCAGGGGATGCCTAGAATCAGTCTGGCACAGGGGCATACACGAATGGTTGTTTTCTCTAGAGTTGCTTTGCTTCGAGGCTGTGATAAGCTTTCAGTCCCATGTGGTTGTATTTCTTTTCTGAAGGTGGAAACCTTAGTAACTGAAAAAAAGTCAGCCACATGTTGCATTAACAACCCGTACAGTACTACCTAACTGCTTTGTGTTTGTGTGATTTTACTGCCACACTTCTCTGTTTTCTCTAGGTCCTTGCTGTTGCTTCTTTTCTCCTCCTGCAAGCCTATTGCCAAACTGCCTCCTCACCCATCCCTGCTGGTAACAATGGCACCAGAACCAGGCTAATCAGTTTAGCAGAGCTTTTTGGTATAGATTGGCCATTCTGTACCTAATCTGGTTAGTGTTTTTTTTGGTGAAGTCTGCCTCACCAGACATGGACAGGCGACCTAATAGCTGGAGGTAGAATATGTGAGGCCCTCCTCATCTCTGAGCCTGACCTCTGTTAGCCTCCCTACTTGCCTGCTATTTCAGTAGCTGGTTCTTAAAAGAACCACCATACTTGGACAAGGTACAGACATGCAGGACATGGTCCTGGTAATCCCCTTTCTAACTGGGTCTGGGCTCAGGCTCTGCCTTGCTTTGTCCAACCTTATCCTCAAGATAGTGTACAGAGAAGTTTGTCAGGACTGGGAATTCTGTTTTATCATCATTTCTGAAGGACTGGATGAACAGAGTGGCTCTCAGGCTATAAACCTGGTAGATCTTCTAGTAAGATGACCTGACTGTTCATGATTGTCTCTTTTCAGCAAATATTTTAAATTCTTGAACAAATATTTGAAAAGTGGCTCTTATGTCAAGTAGGCAACTGCCATTCCTCTTTCAAAATATAAATACTTATTTTTTAAGCTTCATTAAAGTTCTGTTTAAAAATGAAAAGTTTACTTTTTAGGGAGATTTACTAAACACATTGAAGTGAGCTGTCATTCCTTCTTCATATTAGCCAAAGTGTATTAAAAAAAAATGTATTTGGAGTATTTGCCTCTTAGGCCACTGTTAAATACCTGTAAAAGTCCAAGTTCTGCTCTTGGTTCCACTCCATTTTCTGTGCATGTCTGACCATTTTTCTGTAGTGAAACTGAACATGCTCAGTGTTAATTCTTGGAATCCCTCCTGAAAGCAATTAAGCTCTGGCAGCTTTCCTCTTTAGTGTTCACTGCAGCATGTCTCATGCTGTCACAGAAGTAAGGTAGCAGGGAAGAAGTGTGCTCCTGGTCTGGAACACTGGCTTTTCCATCATCTGCTATGTAGCAGTTCTTTGTGGCTTCACTTCTAGCATTCATCCTGATTCACATCATACTCAAGTCCATTATACTTGAATTAATGCTTTATCATCTCTCATGTTCCATCTCACTGTTTTAGTTATTCTTGGTTACTTACTTTTACTAACACTTGGTGGAAAGGATTTTAGAGCAATAATTGTTTGCCTCTTATGGTGCAACACACTTCCAGAATTGAAGACACTTTATAATGGGGTAAAGAACTTTTTAACAGATGGGTTGAAGTCCAGGAAGGTGAAGGAAGCAAATGCCAGAGCTTTTCAGAGTCCAGGTCACCCCATCCCTGTTCTCTACTGTACTGTACTATGCAGCTTATTTTTGCTCCAGACAGACAAAATGAAGCACTAGAGCAGTGTTCTTTACTGTTCTGCTGATCGAGACGTGTATGTTTTTTCCAAAATGATTATAAATAAAAGAAAGAAAAATAGGGCACCTGTGCTGTAATGGGCTGAGTAAAGGGCTGGGATTCAAGCAGTCTCGTATCTGTCTACGTATGCCTCAGCCAACAATTTGAGTCATTTTGGACCAGTGATCTTACCACTGACAGACTTTCTATGGAAATTGGATGACAGGGAGACTGTAGTCGTAAGTTGCATTATCTTTCCATATGAGACCCTCCTGAAGGTTTGGGGGTCCATCAGCTGAGTGGGAATGTACTGAGAGTAGGTAGCCAAATAAGTCAGAGGTTTTCTATACACATGGCCCTGCTTTTGCTGTTGATTTTTTATCTTGCTGTCTGGTTTTGGAGCCTTCTGTATTTTAACTAGTTAGGCATTTATTGTGGAACCCCAAGACAGGGTATGCATAGCTTTTTGTGGCCAATTTAATTCCTGTGTTTGCAGGCACACTGTGGAAATCTGACATACTGTGTATGTGTGTTTTCTTTACTTTTACTTCTTTTTTTCCTTTTCCTGAAGTAGATAATATTGAAATACTTTGTCCTTTGCCCTGAAGGCAATCTGCCTGCTTTTTGAAGCCAGGCAGCATGTGTTATGTCTGGAACTCTTGCATTTGATGTTTACTTGTGCACTGCAGAATCTGCCAGAGCCTCATTTGGTGACCGGAAAGCAGAACTGCACGGCGTGTACCAGTGGCCCCATTATGACGTGTATAACCCATTCTATTTGGAGCAGCGCGTTTCGCCAGATCTGATTAGGCGCTTCCAAGCAAAATCAGATAATAGGAAATTATATGGATCAGGTGAGAAGGATTGCACCCTCATTTTTTTCTATTTTTCTGTCTTTCCCAGGGTTTACTGGTAAGAGAAAAAAAGCCATTAGTCTACAGAAGACGTGTTCGGTTATAGCAGTTCTCAAACTAGTCTGTATGCTATAGATGCTTCTTGGGTGTTGAATCAGTCTGTGGAGCCAGTTCTGCTTGATTTCCAGCTGCACTGTTATTTTATGTCTTTCGAGGGCTTAACAAGGCTTGCATGTATCACATGAAGGTAGACAAATTGGCAAGGCAAGTTAGTGTAGCTGCCTGTGATCTCAAACAGGATGCAGTACTGCAGATTCCAGTTACCAGTAATAGGAGTGAGGGAGATGGAAAAAGAAAGTCAGGCAGTATGTTGAGTGGAGGAATGCATGAGGAGTGCATATATATGGAGAGAAGAACAAGCACCAAAAAAACATCCAGGATTAGATTATAAGAACAGGTGTAAAATGGGAAGTGATGCTATATGCCAGCTTTTCTGTAGTTTGCTTTTGAAGGTGCAGAAATGTCCCTGCTTCTGATTGCAAGTGTTTAAGAATGGGGGAGGGCTGTGAGATAGTAAAAGTTCAGCTAGAAAGTGTTTAGCTATCCAGGTAAAAGTTTACTTCTGTGCTGTTCATTAGTATATGTATCCTATAATGAATACTGTTTAGATTAAAGTAAATGACTAAGTGTTGCTTGCTGAAGTGACTGCTAAGGCAAACACATTCAAAAAGCTCATGCAGGCAAAGAAATGTACACACCTCTATTGAATCAGAAGCTGGCAACAATGTGCATTTTAAAAGATGTTTTAGTTAGAATGGTATAGCATGCTTCTTTTACAGCTGGGGAAAACATCTCTGGGGCTTGTTTTAAAAATAATTCTGAATCACCATAGAGACTATGTGAGAAGACTACTCCATTTATTTTCTTTTTAAGAGAACAAAACACACTTAGCATTTCAGCCACCTTTAACGCATATGGTTTTGCTAGGCTTTGTAAGCACCTGTGGTGGGAGCCAAATGGGTTCTATAAACTGTCTTGAATTTTTCCTTCAGTTCATCATCTCTTATGTTCTTCTTCAAGCTAAGTAAACGCTTCACTGGTTTTGTCTTAGTAAGCTTAAGTATAAGAAATGTCACTTAAGTGTGTCTAGAGTGCAGTTCTAAAAGGTCTTCTTCCTCCAGAGTTTTTTTGACAACTCTTTTAGAACCTACATGATTCTCTTCATGTGCATCTATAGACTAATTAAGCAAAACTCTAAGCCTGTTTTGTTGCAGCAAGTGCTATGATACTATTCTTGGGGAGGGTGGGGTGGGGCTTAGAACAGAATGTGCTTATTTGGAAGGTATGAAGTGAAATTCTTGAATTTTCATGTGAAGCCCTCTCCCCATGTTCTCTGAAAACAGTAAGCAGCTTTAACAGATGCAGCAGACTGTACTGTCTTTAAAGCAATTTGGTGATTTGTAACCTGTAGGCTCAAGTGGATGTTTCCCAGTAAGCTGTGAAAGTCATGAGTACTGAATAGGGAATGAGTTTCTATAACTGTAATAAATTTCAAATTAACTAATGAGCTGGACTCTACTACTTGCTCTCATTGTATCAAACAAGATTTCTAGGCTTCATATGATATTATAGTGGTACTGCTACACTAGACTTCATGAACAACTCAGCCCTTTTATGTCATGCACGGAAGAGAATTTGGAGCTTGTGCCAGCCATACAGACCTTCATTAAATTTTATCTAAATTATTATGTTACTTTCCTTTTCCTCTTATGGGTTCTCAAAACTATCTTTATCTTTTGTTCTCTTTTTTCTTCTTTGGGAAAAGAAAGATTTGTTCTTTATTGTCATATCCTACAAGAAGCATAATTGTTTTTTTCTTTTGATAGCAACAGAGAGGGAAATAAATTTTCAGTAACAAATGATGTTAATTCTGTTAAGCTATGATCAGTGAGTTGTAATGGAAGTCTTCTGAAATATTGTATTAATTCTGAAATAATGTAACGCAGCATTGCAAGAAAAAGCTATTCATTGCATCAGACAGTCCTAGAAGTTAAACCATATTGCTTTCAGTATGGGTCAGTTTTGAAGCTGGGAGGCTTTAAAAATCTCTTGAACATTACTGGAGTCAGCAAAGATTCCTGAAACAGTGGCACTAGTTCAGCTCTCATTTTCTACTGGTGCTACATATGCAGACAGCGTGCTTTAGCTCTGCGTTGCTTCGAGGTCAAAAGAAAACTGATAGGCTCTGTTTAACCACCTCCAACTGCTGAGGAAACTATCCTTCTATAAAATAAAGATCTTGATTTTTTGCTGTAACAAGTACCTGTCATCTTAGAGTTAAGACTTGCTTCGTCTGAGATCTAGGAAGAGTACAGATTACAGTGCTTTGACACTGTGATCAGTAAAGCCAGGGAGATGAGGACAAGTTTAGCAGGAAGCATGTTTTTGCACTGGGATGTTAACTGTGGAAAAATTTTAAAAAGGAGATGAGGCTAAGCCCCAGTTCTGGCTGACTGTATTTAGAGACAAGGCTTTCTGTTTGGCTAAAGCATTTACAAAAACAACCAGTTCTCTTGAGGAAATAACTTTGAGGCAGGCTTCCCATTCCACCACTGCTACCAGTGTGACCAAGTAAGTTCAAACTGTTTCAAGGATGGAATTAAGATATTTTAATGGCTCATTCTCTCTTGAAAAGGGGAAGCAGGGAAAGGTGCTGACATCCCTCCTTAGGTATTGTTTAGCTAGTTTTCAATCCTACCATAGGTCTACTTAAATGCTTAAGAAGCTTAATTTTTTTTTCTAGCAACATTGCTTATATGATTTGTATTGTTCGCTTTGTCTTTTTAGTTAGTGATTTGAGATCCAGTGCTTTGCCTGGATCATTTGATGTAAGTCGTTCAATGTTTGATCTCAGAAGCCCACCTCATCGCTTCATGAAGGTGAGTTCCCCTTGTAACGTAGGTTATACTGAAAACTCAGCTTACTTGGTGTATCTGTTCCTGTTGCATTGTGTTTTCAAAGTAAACACTGAGGACCATTGAACTACCCACTGGAAAGACAAGGGGGAAAAGTTCAGTGTCTTGACCAACTTCAAGAGGCTCTTTCCTGATGTCTCCTCTTAGTACTGGTGTTTTAGCCCAACAGGCTGTTGAGAAACCTGAGCAGTCTGTTAGGCACGCCAAGACAGACAGGAGGTTAAGGTGTTAAAGTAGTAATTCCATGTGTGTTAAAGTAGTAATTCCATGCTGCTGAATAAAGAGATCGGTAAGGAATGAGACAATTATTTGAAATTGGGTGTTGCTTGCTTTTTATCATGTCTTGTCTGATGGTAGAATCTCTCTGGGTTTTTACATTTGTTGCCCTGAATTGAGTGACTTTATTTTTGCCTCCAGAGATACGATTCATTATCCAGTGTACCCAGCAGTACCTCTTCCAGGAAGGATTCACAAGGCAGTAACAGGAGTCTGGGTAATGTTTAGTTTGTTTTCCTTGTAATGAAATAATTCCCTTTGCACTTGAAACATTAAGTTGTCTCTGCTGTTGATGGGAGAGAGTGTTTGGGTTGGGTATATTCTTTGTTTGAGGTTTGTTTTTTGGGGTTGGGTTTGTTGTTTGGTTTTTTTTAGGTGATTATGATTAGCAAGTCAATTTGGAGACTACTTCACAATTCGAAATGTAGAGTTTTGGATTTGCACTTTCCTATCATCAGGGGATTGAGCAAATGAGCCTTTGAGGAATTCTCAAATGCTTTTGAAAAACTCACCCCTGGATTTACTACCTCAGTGAAATACAAAACTGCAGATGTTCTGTTAGGATCAAATGCAGCACCTTGGTCACAGTTCTAGTCCTTTTTTATGTATCACTGTTTTTCTGTGGGAAGAACCTGGAATCCAATGCCCATATTACACTGAGAATTAGGAAAGAATATTGCATGCAAACCTAGTATGCTTATTTATGAAAAAATACTGAAGTGGAGATATTGCAAAATAAACCCTCAAAAATTAATCAAGTCCCCATGGAGCTGACCCTGCTGGCAGACAGAATTTCACCCAGTCTCCTCAAAAAGAAGACTGGAGGGGCAATGACCCAGTTTCAGTTATGCCAGAGAAACACTGGATGTTAAACAGTTCTTCCGACTTGGAGAAAAGCACAATAGTAAAACGTTTATTAAACTAGAACTGAAATCTGAGAAAGATAAAAAGCAGACAAATTTACAACCTTAAGAGTGGAAGTGATCAATCTACGGGAAGTGATAGATTATAAATGTGTCTCAAGCATATGCTTTTTTTCCCTCCTAAAAGTTTTTCAAGTACAAGTTATAAAATTCAATATTTATAACTGAGGTAAACATGACAGCTTTTAGCTATGCAGAAGGTCAGGCTACAGGACTTCATGGATATTTTGTCCTTAAAATGTAGGTGTTAAGGTATTTCACACTTATTTTGAGAGAAGTTTTCAAAGATAGGCAGTCCACCTACTAACAAGTTCCCTTATTCTTGGACTGAACTTCTAAAATACTGCATTACTTTCAAAAACACTAATTGACTTTCTTCCACAGATACTATAACATTATCAGGTGATGAACGAGACTTTGGAAGACTGAATGTGAAGTTGTGTTATGTTTCTTCTGTAGAACAGATCTGGATCACAGTTTCACATGTGAGCAAATATAAATAACTTGATTGTTATTTACTCAAGTATCTATTTTACTAAGTGATAATTCTTATTAAATTTGCCTCCCTGTTACATTAAGGAATACTTTAGGAGAAAAAGAAAATTCCTTCTAAGTATTAATATAAAGTTCAGTCTAATGTAATATTTGGCTTCATTCAAAGTATCTTCCTCTCCTTCTCCCACCCACATCCCCCTCCTCCCCCCGTTGCAATCTCTGTTCTGCTGCAGTAAGTAGAATCTACTTGATTCAAAAGTTGAATCCAACTCTGTATGTTACTATACATACGTTCTGATTGTGGAGTGAGGAACTGTTCAGCATAGGTAAGAAAGATGAGCTGGTCATAGGCTGGTCCTGCTATGGAAATTTGGAGGCAGCTAATTGGAGCTATTTTGGAGGCAGCATTTAACAGATTTTAACAGTTCCTTCAGGGCAGAACCATAACAACACTTTGAGGACATATAACTTCTTGTGGCTTTTTTGTTAGCTAATGTGATATTGTTTTGCTGGCTGTTTTAGAATTTTCCAGGAACTATGAATAATTTTTAGGCAGTGGAAGTTTGAGTAGTCTGAAATCCTCATAACTACATCAAGTGCTAAATAATACATAAGGGATTTCATGATTTATCTGTTGTCAAATCACCACATAGTGAAATCATTAAAATCTACTGAGCAATTTTTTACCCTCTGGTTGTAAAAAATTAATTATGAAAAGATCTGAAGTGACGCAATCATTACATTGGCTCTGATTTACAGTCAGTATTACAGGAATTTAGCATAGTTCTAGAACAGTGTAGAAGACTCTCAGTTGTCTGAAGGCCAGAGTCTTACGTTGTCTAAAATGACTGTCTTTTTCAATGTTACAGTGCAAAGACCTAAGCTGGCCTTCTAGCTGTGGGGAACATCCTCGTATCTATGTCAAGGGAATTCTCACACTGCCCAAACCAGTGCATTTCAAATCTTCTGCCAAGGAAGGGTGTATTGTAAGTAGAGGCAGGAAAAAAACAATGAAATCTTTTCCCCAGATAAATAAAAATGAAATGTAAATGTTTTTGGTTTATGTTTTGTTTTTTTTCTGTTTCTTGTTTTGTTTTTGTTTTGTTTGTTTCTTTGTTTGTTGTTTTGGGTGGGTTTTTTTTGTTTGTTTGGGGTTTTTGTTTTGGGGGTTTGTTTTTTTTTAATGGACCAAACATTTACTCCTATGCCATATTTGCGTGGTAGTTGTCTAAGTTTTGGTTATTTCTCCCCACCTCTCCTAGCCCCCTTTCTCAAAATCCTATTAAAAGCTTTGTTCCACTTCCTCCCCTTATATATCCTCTCTTGCATTGTACTGTTGCCCTCCTTCTCTCCCAAGTCAGCAGGACAGATAGGCTTATAGGGGACTGAACCATGAGCTGCTGGCCTTGGCAACTCAGTTGTTGGGGACTGGAGGAAGACTGGGCATACCTGTAGGTGCACATTCACCCCAGGGAAGGCAGATGCAGTACTGCCTCTCATTAGGGCAGGAGATGAAGTTCATACTTCCTTTCTACAGAAGGCAGTAAGAATTGGTTGCATGGGACAAGACTCCTGCTAGTGTCAGTAAGTGAATATTGAGGGCGTGGAAGGTAAACCAACATAAAACTCCCATAATGTGAGTCAGAGGTAAAAGAACTAAAATTAGGAGAGACAGAAGCAAAGGGCCACAGAGGAATTTGCTCTGACAATGTGTATATGTTATTGTAAAGCTCCAGAAGAGATGGCCTCAACTCATTGTGGTAGTGAAAAATCATAGAGAGCTTTGTCCCTGCCAGGGTGTGACAATGAGGTGGTGAGTCTGTGGGGACTTACCACTGCAAAAGCACACTTTCCACAGCAACCTAAAATAGTAGCCGGGAGCAGTGGCTATAGGACGAGGAAGCCTTAGTTTTTAGCATTTGAGTTGAGTGTGACTTTTACGGTTGTGATGTTACCCCTCTGTTTTTCCTTCTAGGATATAGAATTTATGGAAACTTTTGTATTTGCTATTAAACTGCAAAGCCTGCAGGCTGTCCGACTGGTATTTAAAATCCAGACACAGACTCCCAGGAAAAAAACAATTGGAGAGTGCTCCTTGGCACTGCGGGAGCTCAGCTCGGAGGAATCAAGTCATTGGCTGGATATATCTCCTCCTTCCAAGGCACCTGTAAGTGCCAATACTGCAAAAGTATGTTGCTGTGTCAACTAGAAATAGTTGCTGGGAATGAAAGTAAAGTAATTTAGTAGTAATTTAATGTTAATGCAATTGGTGTGTGTGTGTCTCTTTTTCTCTTCTTTTTACCCTTTATTTTTGTTTTTTTTTTTCCCTTATCCCTCCTCTCCCCCGCCCTGTTCTTGGTGAAAGGCATTCTGATGGGGAAAAAATGCAGACTGTAGCTGTTCTGGTCATAAACTGCAGCTGTTTCTGAGAAAAGACTAGAGCAAGCTCTTCCACACCATGGCCTGCAGCTTGAGGGAGCAGTATTCTGGGGAAACGTTCAGCAATGTACACCATGTAATTGCCTTTTCTGACCAAAAAGGCATCAGAAGTTCCTTAGGACTCACAGCAAGAGCTCAGAGCAAATGGAATCTGGTTTTGTTATGGAAGAAAAGTGCCAAGATCTTCAGTGGCTTGAAACTGCAGAGATAGCTATATATTTCATGTTCAGATTCCATGCTGTGAAGTAATAATTCAGGCAGTTCATTTCCATTAGCATAATAAGAAGCAGGTGGCTTTCACAGCAGGATTTCCTTTCCCCCTACCCTCATTTTGTTTGTTTCTTCAACAGATTGTGTCTAGACATTTGTATTTGCAACAAATTAAACTTGAATTAGCAATTCAAAAGCAAATTTTATCAAAGTGTGTCTGAGTAACATGAATGACACTCTTGATTTCTAACGTAAGTTACACTTGACATTTTTTAGTTCCAACAAGAATAACCATACTGCTTCAAAAGTCATAAGCTTAAGTGAAAGAGGAAGCTCTTTTAGAAACTGCTTCATCCCAGTGTAAATTCCTGTATCACCTCACGGTTTCTCTCTCACTGTTGGCTTTCTTCACCATTATTTCTAAGAGCCCTCCAGACACTGCTGGAATTCACCCCTGTACTACCCTGTCAGGCAGCAAGTACTCTACTTGCCAATAGAGAGCCAAAGCTCAGTTGAATAAGTGGCTTCCTCTCAGGGTTACACAGAAGTTTTGTGGCTGAGCTGCAAAGAGAATTTGGGTCTCTTCGATGAACTGGAGCCTGATTTCACTGTTACTAACCTGTTGCTCTCTTACTTGGTACATTTGCTTCACTGCAGTCCATTAAAACTTAAAGTGAAGTAGGACCAGCAAAATCCTTTTAAATGGAGGTTGTCAGGAAACCTGGGTCTCCATTGGCCTTCTCCTGCTGTTCTTAAGTGCTCAGAGTATATTAGCATCTGACAGGAGAGTAATGAAGATGCCTCAATGCACCCTTGCAACTAGAAAAAATACTATAAATTATAAAATACAAAAATTCAGGCTGGAGCTTACAGTACAGTCAGAGAGCAGGGGGTGTGTATGTACCTAGGCATGTAAAACCCAAGTGCGTCCATAACATAGGAAACACCACAGCGTGCAGTTACCCTTTTATATTCATAACACTAAGTGATGGGGTCTCTTATTTATAGAAAGCATTGCTTATATCTGCATGTTGCAAAATTTAGAAGTTTGGGAAAAGTACTGCAAAGGTTTTTTGCACTAGTGGAGCATAGTGGGTCTCTCACTTCCACACCCAGGTTTAGGAGAGCTACAATGGCATGTCTGGTCTCCCCTGTATGTGTCTGCACTTACCATTGAGGGATCTTTCCCAGGTGACTGTTTATCCAGTCTCTCTGGCTGCAGCCCACTAGGGTCATCTGTGTGCTGCACGTAAGCAGTCCACCAGTGAAGCACATGTACTGCAGCTACGACAAGTGCAAGACACACTTACTGTGCATCTGCAGGTTGTGTATACACCACATACTTTTATTTCTGTCCAGGAAATCCCAGATATAACTGTGGGAGCCCAGCATATGACAGAATTCCTGTGTTTCCTGAATTTATAAACAACTTAATCCAGATGTTATAGCAACATTCTTTTGCTTGTAGGTGTGCCGTGCAGAACTTCAAGTAGGAACTTGTTTTCAAGCAGTAAACAGGAGGATACAGTTACAGATTCTGGAAGCACAAAACCTTCCAGTTTCATCTACACCACTGTCTTCAAGTAAGTTACATCAGCTGTCTCATGCCTCCTGTCTAAAAGCATTTGTAACAGGTAAATTGCTGCTCAAATGGGTTGGCAATTCATAACATTCCTTACAAACCTCAGTCTAACATATTGTGCAGTAGATTTCCATTGCCAAGGCTTGTTTCCACAGATGTCTTATTTGATTACTTTTTGTTTGGTTTGAAGTTATGTGTTTATGTATTTTGGAAGGTTTGTATCCCAGTATTAATCCTGACATATAAGAGCATTAGCCTGCACTTGCTGTTTGCACACTGTGTTAATCAATTCAATATTAGTGAACATACTCTGTGTGACTAGTCAGGAAAGCTATTGCACAGTCCTTTTGGCCAGACTTTTGGGAATTTATTGCAATCTGAACAATAGATGTAGATCTTGTCGGTTCCTTTTGGGATGTGTTTGTGAGTAACCCTTTGTGTGCTATGCCTTTTTCCCCTCCCTTTTGTGCTAGATTTCTTTGTGAAAGTTGGAATGTTTACTACAGAAGGGATGATCTATAAGAAGAAGACTCGTCTTCTGAAGTCCACTAATGGCCACGTGAAGTGGAGAGAAATGATGATTTTTCCAGTTAGCCAAGCTGAACAAGGAATTGGCTTTCTCATCAAGCTCTACAGCAGAAGTTCAGTGAGAAGAAAACACTTCCTAGGACAGGTTGGTTTCTGCTAACTGGCATGATATCCTTTAATTAAAATCCAGTTCCACAGATTTCTTGGTATGAGTTTTAAAATACTTTAAATAAGGTGGCATATAGCAAAATAGTAAATGCTAATAAACTCTCCTGGATGTAACCCAAGAAATAACAGTACTGGACTCTTAAACATGCCCTAACATCAGAATGGGAGCTGACACTTGATTTTTCTTTTAAGAAGAAATCCTTGAGTCATTTTTGCGTGGAGTACTACTATGTGGAAGATTCTTTCATACAGACAGATATACAATCTCCTCCTTGGCTCTAGGCTTTCTAAAGAAAATAAACCGCACAACCTATACTGTACTGTACAGAAAGGGAGTGTGTTGGCTTACCATACCAATACACTTGTGTATGAAAGGAATTATCAACAGCTACAATCAGTTTGCCTTCCTGGGTAGAAAATACCAGCACTGTTTCTTTTGAAAGCATTTGTGTGGTCATATTTATTTAACCACCATACAACTTGGTTGTCTGGTTTCTTTATTCTCTGTCTTCTTCCCCTTGTTGTTCTAATTTACAGTCATCTTGCCCCTTCTTTCTTTCCCACCCTACTCAGTGCTTGTCAGGTCACACCTGGAATACTGTGTTCAGTTTTTATCTCTGCTATACAAAAAAGATGTGGACAGGCTGCAGAGAGACCAGACAAGCGCCACAGGGATGATCAAAGGACTGGGAAGCTTGCTGAGCTTGCTGTATGGGGAAAGAACTGCATTCATTCAGCCTAGAGACAAGAAGGCTCAGGGGAGCCTTATCACCATGTTCCAGTATTTAAATGGTGGCTGCAAAGAAGATGGAGACTCCCTTTTTACAAGGAGTCACCTGGAAAAGACAGGGGGTAATGGGCAAAAATTACTGCTGGGGAGATTCTGACTGGACACAAGAGGAAAATTTTTCACAATAAAGACAATGAGCCACTGGAATAATCTCTCCAAGGAACTGGTGGATTCCCCAATGTTGGACACTTCTAAGATTTGGCTGGACAGGGTGTTGGGCTATCTAGTTGATGTTGTGCTCTGCCTAGAAAGATTGGACCAGATGATCCTTGAGGTCCTTTCCAACCTGGTATTCTATAATTCTTTTTCTTCTTGGTATAGCAAGACATAGCTTTTCTTAATGCTCTGTGCTTTCCCTGACTCAGCTAGTTTTAGTAGCAGAATTTTAATATATGGTTAAATGAATAATGTAGAATTGATTTTGAGACACCAACTGTAATGTCCCTTGTCAGATGAAGGGCTGTGCTATCCTCAGGTACAGAAAGGGGTAGTGTCCCATTGTGGTGATGTTTCTTGTGCCTGTTGAAGACATGCAGTTGCAGGAGATGCTGATATGCTACAGAAGTGATGTGCCAGCAAGTTACGTGCAGTTCCTCCATTTTATGAAGCCTCATGTCACATACGTTCCATCTTTTTGCAATTCCTGTTGGTGGAATTGGATTTGGAATAGGAAAAACAAAAATTAAAAAAATAGAATTGTTCATCTTAGTTGTGCTACCTTGGAGCAAAAATAACTGGGTATGATTTTGCAGTCACTTAGCAATATATGAGGTCATCTCAATCTGATGAGTTACATTTAATCACAGATCTTATTTTTAGGGGGAGGAAATGAGCTACTTCTGCTCCTCAGAGGTTACTTGGAAAGGTTGTTTCAGCTCATGCAGGCAGACATTGCCACATAACACATGAAGACATAAAATATGGCTCAGGGAAAAAAGTACTTTGAGCAACTGGCTGGATAGCTGGAAAAAGAGGAATGTAGCTGGATCTATTAATTTTGTTCTTCAGAGAGTGATGTTTAATTGGATGCTGTTCTAAGCAGACAATACTTAGATTAGCCTGCTTTTACAGGCATGTCTTTAATCATGAGCAAAATGTATATTGAATCTCTGTGGACATGTCTGTGGTATTCTGGAAGACATTATTCTCACTTCTTAAGGACTTCATGCCTCAGCAGTGTAGGCTAAATGTGCTCCATAGTGAAGGTTTCTGAGAAGTCTTAAAAAGACTCATTCTTGGAAGACTTGAGGAAATAAGAGTCCTGTAAATAACGATACCTACTTACATAAGCAGAATTCTTTTTGGCAATGAGACTGGTGATAATGTTCAGAGGAAAATGTCCTCCTTGTACCTCATTTCCTCATTTAATGGCCACTATCCATTAACTAAATACTGAGAAGGAAGAGACTCCTACTGCGTGACTATGTGTGGTATGGGCATGCTAGTAACTGTGGAACGCAGGTTTGGCCTTGACTGTTGGAGTGTGCAATTTTAAATGCATATGACAATGCTGGACAGCTAGCTGAGGATGCCAGATGGCTTGCAGCCAACTGGAGTTTGAAAGCATAGAGCCATTACTGGCCCTCATGAGCCCTTGACCCTAGCACATGCATTTGTGTGGAGCAAGGAATGCTTGACTTAAAACATCTTATTAAGCACAGAAACATTAGCATGTAGTGAATTCTCTAAACTATTTTAGAGACTAAATTTAAACCCAGACTCCCTGTGTTCCCAGATGACAGCCAAAATACGTTAGTCGCAAGAGAACCGTATTTGTTGGTCTTACTCTTTGGTCACAGTCTACATGTTGTATCTCATTCTACACTTCCATGGTATTTATTTGGAGCCAATAAATTCTGGGCCTCTGTGTTATATCAGGTAAACTCAATTTTATTTTTCTTTTTGTTTCTTTCTGCAGATCTGGATAAGTTCTGATAGCAGTAACAGTGAAGCAGTAAAGCAGTGGAGAGATACTATTGCTAACCCTGAAAAGGTTGTTGTTAAGTGGTACAGCATTGGTCCGTCTTGAAGACTGCAGATGAAACTCAGGACTGATTTTTCTACAAAGATATTCCTACACTGTTTAAAATAGTATAAATAAAAAGAAAAATATCGTCTATACAAGTTCTTTGGAAGCTCTCCAATACATCAAACCTCCATGATAACAGGGAAAACTCAGTTCCACCAAGAGGAATACTGGCTAAATATTATTAAGAGGAAAACTTAGGAACTGGAAAAGTGCTCATTCGATTTTAACAAATCCACATTGAAAAATATATTTTTGTCCCTTTCAGGCTCCATGAGAGCACAGGAATCCAATCCTGGAAAGAAGCAGGTTGAATCAGCATCTTCTTCACTAGTCACTGACTCTATCCTCATCTGCAGTCTTGTCTTGGGCACGCTCCAAAGTTCACAGGAATCGGTCCAGTCAGCGGCTTGATCCTACATACCTCTGAGCCTCTCAGGCTACACCTGTGCTGACACCTTTTGATCAGAGTAGTGTGTGCCGGAGCAAGTGGGAAGGCTGTGGCAGTAAAAGGCATAAAGGGAACTTTGCAGTAAGGCAGTATCCAAAGACTTTTCTAGTCTCCATCTTTGATAAAGGGTTGTTCAGTTCCCTGACATGCCTGCAGCTTGTGTTTTCTCCCATCCTTCTCTCTAAACAGAGTGATTGAAAGAAAAGAGTTTCTTTGACTGTGATCTTTGCAAGTAGGGCCCTCTAGACTTGCTGTGTTTGGGAGAATTCTGGTTGGAATCAATGGAATAATACAAACAGGCAACCACCCTTGGATCAGGGCTAGTATTTTTAGACAAATTTCTTGTATAGAATTCTTATGTGTAAACCACTTCCTATCTAATCAACAATGTTCTAGCATTTGCTTACATTGTTAAAACCCAGACTACCATGTACGAGGGAGTAAGCAAATATTTACTGACATAAGTGCTTTTTGATATTAATTAAAATGCAGCACAGTATGGAACTTAGGCTTTGTTTAAAAGATGGGCTACTATGCAGAAATATTTGTTACATGTCTAGGATGGTGAAAAATTACGTGTGGGAGTATTTTTGTTACTTGTGTGTAGCAAGAAAAAATTATCCTATTTTTATTGCAAATTATATTTTCACTGCAAAATCCTATGATGATTTTTTCTGTCAGTGCCTGCATTTTCAGGGGCTTATTCACAGTTATTTTTAAGGTGGGAAAATGCCATGTACATGATTGATCATATATACATCTAAAAGCACAGGCCTCTGCCCTACTTGGAACTATGGGATTTGAAAAATATATTCTATTAAATCCACTGCTTACAGATTTACTGTTTGCTGTCTGGACTGTACAAATATGTATGTTTGTATAGACACTGAGTAATTCTAGCTTTTTTTATAACTTGAATCCCATTCAAGCATTTGACATGGACTAGAGTGGCAGTGAGAGCACTTGCTGCTTCAAGGCAACGGAACAGCGGGGAGCAGAAAAAATGCTGTAACAGGAAAGCATGTTGTATTTAAGTGAAGAGCTCAGAGCATCTTTATCTTAACTTTTTTGACTTTGAGTAAGGGTAAAGAAAAAATGGAATTTCCTTGATATTTCTCTTTTATCAGCTGATAATTATAGCTTTTAAAACTTCGACCATTTTTGGTTTTTAAATTTAATACTTTGAAAACAGGCAAACAAAAGCGTTTTCCCAGGTTCTTACATATTTTGCTTTTCACCAGTTTTATAAACAAACTGGAAAAGTTCTGCATGTTACCCAGAGAGCAAACATCAGTTCTAGCTCTTACTGACACTCTTTGCAGAGTTCCCAATAGGCCTAGAGGATCTTGACTGACAGCATTAACTCCCAGACAGTTTCAACGCTTGGCCTGACCTGTTGGGTAACATGAACAAAAGGAAACTGGACTTAGCCGATATTCTTGGAGTATCTTTACTTGAATATGACAATCTTATTATTCATTGTGGCTGAACTGCAGTAAACAGAAGTGCAAACTGTTTCCTTATTCAGAATACTGCTCTACTTGAAAGAGAAGACAGGGAATATCCCAGTACTTTGGAGGCTTTGATTCTACAGAGATTGCCAACTCAGTGCATACTGTGTAAAATCGGCTTTTTGGGCTGCTTAAGGACACCTTTAAAGGCCTAACTAGAAACATCTCTCTTTTCCTATGTTAATATCTAATCTATGTGTTTATAATAAAAGTTATGAAAAGAAAATATTCCATCTTTTTTTCCCCCCAATTAATTATACCCATGTTTACCAGCATCTCAAACTGAAGTTCAAGTCCTACCTTTTTTCTCTGAGAAAATCGTTGAATCATAGAATAGTTAGGATCGGAAAGGACCTTAAGATCATCTAGTTCCAACCCCCCTGCCATGGGCAGGGACACCTCACACTAAACCATATCACCCAAGGCTCTGTCCAACCTGGCCTTGAACACTGCCAGGGATGGAGCATTCACAACTTCCCTGGGCAACCCATTCCAGTGCCTCACCACCCTAACAGTAAAGAACTTCTTCCTTATATCCAATGTAAACTTCCCCTGTTTAAGTTTTAACCTGTTAGCCCTTCCTTGTCCTATCACTACAGTCCCTAATGAAGAGTCCCTCCCCATAATCCCTATAGGCCCCCTTCAGATACTGGAAGGCTGCTATGAGGTCTCCATGCAGCCTTCTCTTCTCCAGGCTGAACAGCCCCAACTTCCTCAGCCTGTCTTCATACGGGAGGTGCTCCAGTCCCCTGATCATCCTCGTGGCCCTTCTCTGGACTTGTTCCAACAGTTCCATGTCCTTTTTATGTTGAGGACACCAGAACTGCACACAATACTCCAGGTGAGGTCTCACAAGAGCAGAGTAGAGGGGCAGGATCACCCCCTTCGACCTGCTGGTCATGCTCCTTTTGATGCAGCCCAGGATAGAGTTGGCTTTCTGGGCTGCGAGTGCACACTGAAGCCAGCTCATGTTCATTTTCTCATCAAACAACACCCCCAAGTCCTTCTCTGCAGGGCTGCTCTGAATCTCTTCTCTGCCCAACCTGTAGCTGTGCCTGGGATTGCTCCAACCCAGGTGTAGGACCTTACACTTGTCATGGTTAAACCTCATGAGGTTGGCATCAGCCCACCTCACAAGCGTGTCAAGGTCCCTCTGGATGTCATTCCTTCCCTCCAGGGTATCAACCAAACCACACAGCTTGGTGTCATCAGCAAACTTGCTGAAGGCGCACTCAATCCCACTGCCCATGTCAGCGATGAAGATGCTAAACAAGACCCGTCCCAACACCGATCCCTGAGGGGCACCACTCGTTACTGGTCTCCAGCCGGACATTGAGCCATTGACCACAACTCTGCGTGCAGCCATCCAGCCAGTTCTTTATCCACTGAGTGGTCCATCCATCAAATTGATGTCTCTCCAATATAGAGACAAGGATGTCATGTGGGACAGTGTTGTACGCTTTACACAATTCCAGGTAGATGACATCAACTGCTCTACCCCTGTCCATCAGTTCTGTAGCCCCATCATAGAAGGCCACCAAATTGGTCAGGCAGGATTTCCCCTAAGTGAAGCCATGCTGGCTGTCACCAAGCACCTTGTTGATTTTCATGTACCTTAGCATGCCTTCCAGGAGAATCTGCTCCAAGATTTTGCCAGGCACAGAGGTGAGACTGACTGGTCTGTAGTTCCCTGGGTCATCCATTTTCCCCTTCTTGAAAATGGGGGTTATATTTCCCTTTTTCCAGTCATCGGGAACTTCACCTGACTGCCCCAATTTTTCAAATATGATGCCAGTGGCTTAGCAACTTCATTTGCCAGCTCCTTCAGGACCCAAGAATGGATTTCATCAGGTCCCATGGACTTGGAGGTTCTTAAGATGGTCTCGAACTGGATCCTCTCCTACAGTGGGCCTAGGGTCTTCATTCTCACAGTCCCTGCGTCTGCGTTCCAAGACTTGTGTGCTGTGGTCAGAGCCTTTGCCAGTGAAGACCGAGGCAAAGAAGTCAATCAGAACCTCAGCCTTCTCCAAATCCAGGGTACCCAGTTCTCCCAGTGTAGGGGGCCTACATTGTTCCTAGTCTTTTATTTGCTACGTACCTGTAGAATCCCTTCCTGTTATCATTAACATCCCTAGCCAAATTTAATTCTGATTTGGCCTTAGCTTTCCTAACCGGGTCCCTAGCTTCCCAAACAACATCCCTGTACTCTTCCCAGGCCTCCTGTCCTTGCTTCCACCTTCTATAAGCCTCTTTTTTCCTTTGAATTTTCCTCAGCAGTTCCTTATCCATCCAAGGAGGTCTCCTGGCCCTCCTGCTGCACTTCCTTCTAGTTGGGATGCAACACTCCTGAGCTTGTAGCAGGTGATCCTTGAATATCAACCAACAGTCTTGGGCCCCCCTGCCCTCTAGGGCTGTATCCCATGGAACTTTACTAAGCAGGTTCCTGAAGAGGCCAAAGTCTGCTCTCTTGAAGTCCAGGGCAGTGAGCTTGCTGCACGCTCTTCTCACTGTCCTGAGGATCTCGAATTCAACCATCTCATGATTGCTGCATCCAAGGCTGCCCTGGAGCGTCACATTTCCAACGGGCCCTTCCCTGTTGGTGAGCATGAGGTCAAGCATGGCACCTCTCCTGGGCCACTCCTCTATTACTCACAGAAGGAGGTTGTCTTCCACACAATCGAGGAACCTCCTAGATTGCTTGTGCCAAGTAAGGAACTGTATTTCCTGTAATGTTGCACGTAGTGGAGTTGACTGCTAACACACTGAGGAGATATGTAAGGCCTTCCTTTGAAAGACGCACATGAGTATCAGAGCACTCTGAAAAGAATAGTCTGAGGCACTGCTTCAGCCTGTGCTCATTCCAAGGCTTTGTAGTTTTCTGCATTTGTGTCTGCATTCATGTAAGAATTTAATGAATTCTTAATAGAATATTTGGATAAAGACACTATGCTTTTTTCCTACAAAATAGGAGCATGTAAGTTGCTTGTCGCTCAGACTTGTTCCTTAATTTGTCCAGAGCACTACACTGATCTTGACGAAACTGACTGCATTTCAGGTATAGAAAGTAGAAAATGCTTTATTTGTCCCACCACACAAAATATGGCTCTGCTTGTTACTAGTCTCAGCTGACTCAGTG